AATTCTGGATAGAAAACTATGGAGGTGGACTCTGAAAATGAGTCCTTCCTCTCAAACTGCTGGCTGGACCCTGACAAGTGCCCACGTGAGCAGACTGCAAATAGTCCTGCTGAGGGGAGAGGTGAGCAGAGATTTGCACGGCACATCCCACAGATAGTACTGCTTGCTAAATCAAAACATTGTTTTAGAAAGGTTATAAAAGAAAAATTCTTAGTCTCTTACACTATGAGTTAGATCATTCGGGATGTAACCCAAAATTACAATGCAAGGGAATAGAACTATTGCTATGAGAGGGAGGACATTTAACCAAGGGAGACCAAGCCCAACAGGAGTCAGGCATGAGAATTAGCAAACATTTAAGGTAGCTCTTGCACAACTAAAGGATAATACAGCTAAAGGATAGGCAGGCAGAAGCTGACAAAATTGCCTCCCTGGCGACATTGTTAAGCCTCCAAGAATAGCTCCTCACTTGCATTATCCAAGATCTCACGTGTTCTCACTTGCTACAGTACCGTGGCAAGCTTCATCCAAGAAAAGGCACTCATCCACATTAAACATCAAACTTATCAAGAAGAGAAAAGAGATATTACTTCTCAAGATCTGTGTGTTATTATAAAGTGATAATTCTCTTATCATTGTGTCAGGTGTGTTAGATAGTCCTTGACCTAGAGGGATTTAGTGTTAAATGTTGTTTTGGGGGGTGGGGAATATATGCTTAGAAGATCCCACAATAGTCACTAAAAAAGTACAAATAACAAAAGAATGCCATAACTTTTTCTGGGACAGACAGGAGCCTAGAGAAGTTCTCTTAGACCCCAGGTTTCAGGAAAGGAAGGGATTTTCCTGAGAAAGAAAGAGGAAGAAATAGGGTAAAGACAGAGAGCCTCAGATGCCAGGAAGCTGAAGAGGAGGCACTCTGTCTAGCTGGGAAGTAGAGTTGTAAGAGGGTAGCTAAGAACTGAGGCTGGAGAGGCAACTGGGTAATACTCTCGGAAGAAGAATTCCTAGTAAGTCATGGAAGGCAAATCCATGCTGTGAGAATATCAATACTGAAAACACAAAAAATAGGCTAGATTAGAGTTACGAAACTCAAGTAGTTACCCCAGCAAAAGATACATTTGTACAAGTTGTTGTACAAAGACTCACCCCAGGGCAAGGGTGAAAGGGACCCTTTTAAGTTGTGTTCGCCAACGATTATAAACTACAGGAAGAAACGTCCCATCGTGTGTGAAGTCCAACAGAAACAAAAATAAGTGGATGAGCACGTCGAGGGCTTAGCGCGTTACAAGAGCCTGTAGGGAACTAATACACAGGCTCATAATGATTTCAAAGTAAAATAAGCAGTAACGCAGGGAAAACATCACAACCTTGAAAAAAGGAAGGATTGGTTTGTAAGAAGTGAAATGCACAGAAATTACAAAGGTAACTGGCATGTAGAAAGCCATCAGTGATTTCTTTACAAATGGGCTGTCAGTGCAGAGAAAAACATGCAGACTATAGCTCAGAATGAAGGGACTAGGGATGGGTGAGGGTGTGGCAGAAAAACTCTTGAGTGCACCCAGCGTTCTGCATCCTTTTATACCGTCTTTGGTCCACTCCCTCTGCGTAGATGAGGGCTGTCAGGCTCCGAACCCATGGAATATAATAAAAGTCGGGATGACACCCTAAAGCATAGGATAAAGATGACAAGGGTGTACCGCTTTTAGTTTAAGATAGTACCATTGCAGAGCAACAGACAAATACCACAAATGGCTTGGACACCAGTAAACACGGACCCATAAAGGTCGTCAACGTATCTACAATATGAATCTCAATTTCACGTATTAAGCCCAGACTTAATCAAGTCTGAAATGATGACGCATACAAACGATATTGTGGTTGTCTGTCGAAGCTTTGCTTGTAAGCATTCAGTTATTCAGTGGATCGATCTCTCAACTAGCTTTCATCAACAACTTCACTTCGCCGCCAATGATCATTAGCTCAGGCAGCTCTGGACTTCATTTGTGGAGATCTGTCTCTGCTCTTGGCAATTCAACAATGCCCTCCCATTTGTCCATGTTACTGCAGTAGCTCATTGTATATTTGTTAGTGAAGTCCTGTCTGTCCTTTAACCCATTTTCATATAGGAGTTCAATCGATCTTTGAGAGTGTAAGTGTAATCGTCACTCTTCTGATTGAAGCGTTTCAAAGACCCCCTCCCCAATGTATTTAGAATGAAAAGCCAGTCTCTCCGTGACTTCTAAGCATGTCCCCCGCTTACTTCTACAGCTTAGACTTCCCATGCTCTCCCTCTGCTTTCCAGTAGAACGATCCAACCTTTACAGCCCTTCCTGCTCAGAATATTGCTGCCTGCCCTACATTCCCTTTCCTACCCGGTCCCTACTTCCCTTCAAATCTCACCATAGCCTTCGGCAAGCTTGCCTTCTTGACCTCCTACAACCAGTTTTCACTGCGGACAGAAATCCCTTGCTGCACAGGCCCCAAAGTGGACACCTACTTCCACCACAACACTGAAGAACTGCGCTCTTGGTTTATCTGAGCCCCTACCTTCTGTTCCTTTCGCCTTGATGTAGGTTAGCATCAGGTCTAATTAATTCACGGTTGTTTACCCGGGAATTGCCAAGGAATGGCATATCATAAGTATCCATTAGACTAAACGTTGAGTAAATAAAAGAAGGTTATGCAGAGAAATAAAGCAATATATATTGGAACTGACATTAGCAGTTGAAGCGTAACTCTTATGAAATTCAAAAGTGTAAAAGTTAGTACTACTTCCAGAGACAGCTTTAATTTTTAAGTATTGAACTGAGTGACTTCTATTTCTTTCAACAAAATTTAGTGAACAGTTTGGAATGGGAGAGGCTTCTATCACTGTAGCATTGAAAAAGATTAGCTGGGGGAAAAATGATATGCTTACAAATGGCTTTTCATGCTGAACTCCTGGAATCCAGTTGCAGACAGGGAGGAGTGATGAGCAAAGGGGTCAAGACCAGGTTGGAGAAACCTACAAAGACAGCTGACCTGAACAAAGGGAGCTCATGCACCCCAGTCTGATAGCTGGGAAACCTGCATAGGACCAACCCAGACCCCCTGGACGTAGGTCCCAGAAGGTCTGGGCAGTCTATGGGGCCTCTGGTAGTAGGTCAGTATGTACCCCTAGTGTACAAATGGACTTTGGGAGCCCATTCCACATAGAGGGATACTCTCTCAGCCTGGTGTGTGTGTGTGTGTGTGTGTGTGTGTGTGTGTGTGTGTGTGTGTGTGTGTGTTCATGCGCGCGCCTGCTCGTCATCTCTTTCTGTGTAACCTATAGTCCAAGCAAACAAAGACACATGCCACCAGAGAATGACAAAAGGAACATGCGGAAGGAAAGACTTTATTTTCCTGTGAAAATGTGTAAAATCCTTAGTCACATAAACATACTAGAGCTACAGAGGGATAAGGATAAGTAGAGAGAGTATTTAGCAAGAAGCTATCAAATGATAATGAGACATTTAGGAAAAAGAAGAGCATTTGACAATTACAGTGACAACTGATGCATTAGAACTGTACAGGGAAAGGCTTTGTGGGTATGTGGATGCATACTCCTTAAATCTGTTCTGTAAGGAACAGATAGCATTCCCAAGGGTCTGTAAGTACACAGCTGAAGATATGTGTAGAAAGGAGTGAACGTGAAACTCTGCATATGGTCTCTGACTATAATCTACTTAATGTTCACTGCAGAGACTTAGGAACGCAAATATTTTTGGAAAAGTCCCGCTAACTTTCTGGCCACAAAATATCACTTTGCAAGAGAGGCTATCTGAAGCAGTGGCATGAACACACAGACTTACAAGTGAGGAAAACCATGAGCAAGAATGGAAGAACTCAACATCGCTGCTAGTTCGAAATGATTGCCATGGAGCGAGGGCTGCTACGTAATATTTATAACTAGTGATGAATGGAAAAAGAATGTAGTTTGTGGACTTTCCTAGTGCATCATCATGGCCCTCTGTCTGGCTGGTGCATTTAGATTCACCTTGGTATTTCCACGGCGAAAGGACTTCCTAAAAACAACCATGACTCAGTGAGCATCGATAGCATGCAAAGGAATAGTTACCCTGTGCTTTCAAACCAGGGCAGCCCCTGGAGACACAGGTACGCTGACAGATGAGCATCTTGCAGGCCACTCTATTTCAGTGGTGTTGTGAGTTTGTTCAGTGGGTCCAAGTATCCTGCCCCCAAGGAACACTAGTAACATCTCCTTTGCAGTGATTCGACACCCAAAGGTACTTAGCATAAATAATTGGCCAGGGAAAACTTGATAGAAACGTCAAAATGTCAGTAGCTAACAGAAAGTTTTCAATTGTGATGGAAACGGGGAAATCTTCAGAGAAAATAAATAGAGAAAAGGCTACCTGCTATTTTCTGGTGCAAAGAATGACCCGTGAAATCCGAACTGATGTTATTGAAGGATAATGTGAGCACTGACCCTAGCTCATCTTTCCCCCACACAGTTGGAAACAAACTCCCCTCTTGCTCTTGTAGAAAAGGGCTGTTTGCATACACACCTGGCTATAAGAAATGTTCATAGGTATTTTCAAATTTTCATGTTACATGAAGAGCACATACCACATCAGAAAGAGGTAAACCGTAAACAGGAAAATAGGGTTGGGTTTTCTAATTTCAATAAAGACCATTCGACATGGGAGTTTTTGAGGATGGCAGGGCCTTAGGATTCGGTATACTGGGTGATGATATATGTCTGGCTATAGTAAGAACATTCTTTCCATTTAAAAAGTACGTGCTTGTGATGTCTTTAAAAGAGGCTTGTGTTTTCATGCTCAACATGTGGTCTCCTCCCTTGTTTCCAGGAGACCTACATCAATTAATAATTAATAATTTCCCTGTGCACCCCACTCTACAACCGGCTCGTCGTTCATGCGCAGAACGAGGTAGGACAGGAGCTGAAAGAGGTTTTGCCACAGTAAGAGGGACACGTAAAAGGAAAGTCCGCTTACGTCCAGCTCACAGCGCTCGCCCGCGAAGGCCGCATCACAGATGCACTGGAACCTGTTGACCAAGTCCCTGCACAGGCCTCCGTGGAGGCAGGGATCGGAAGCACACTCATCGATGTCCTCGTCACACCTTGAACATGAGCGGAGAAGCAGAAGGCCAGGGTTGGGTAAGTGCACTGTAACACAGCGTGATAGTTTGTCTCTCCTCCTAGAGTGGCGCAGGTGATCACCAGTGTTACCCAATTATACACACAGGACAACTTCAAAGATTCCTTAAGAACCCTTTAATACATTGTTGATTTTGTGGAAATTTACTCACACAGATGGACAGGCATGGGACACGCACATTGGAGTTAACTGGAATAAGAAAATGATGGCTAACATTTAGAAACCCTGTTTATCCCTGAAGAGCATTGTTGGGTTTGCTACCTTATAAATGACAGCTTTATTAGGAGGATGCTGGCCGGGTAACTTTGTCAGCCTGGAATCTACAGGGCAGAGGAAACCCTGGCGGCAAAGGTTCTGTCTCTGCCTCAGGATAGACTTGGTTAATTCTGGGAGATACTAAATTATTTTCTTTTGAAATTTCATTTATTTTAACACATCAGTAAGTAAAAAGCCTGTTGATAAATCTTTCCTCTATAGTAATGACACAGAACTCGAATTACTGCCCACGCTAAGGTACGTGAGTACTGGGACACTGCCCATCTCCTTTTCTATCAACATTTTTTTTTCTATTGATTTTTTTTAAAAAACTGACATATGAACACAAAATGATACACACTTGTGGGGTAAGTAAGTGTGTGCACGTGTGCATGTGTGTGTAAGTGTGTAGGTGACATGTTGACACTTTGCTGCAATGTTCAAATCAGGTTGAATAAAACAACAGCACATCTTTCTATTGATACTTTCAAATCAGTTCTTGTCGGTTTTTTGTTTGTTTGTTTTCAATATTACTGTGCATAGCAAACAAATTCTTGTTCTGGGCATCCATGGATTAACTCGTTAGTTTCATGTGTCCTGTGACAAATACTCTGCTAAGGCCTCAGGGCAGGGCAGTGGTGGTGGCGTTTCTATTGTTTTAGGTAACTCATGAAATTTGAGCCCCAGGATCTTTGCAGAACAGCTTATGATGGAAACTGTTTCTAGCCTCCACCTTCCCCCAAAGTGGAACTTCCACGTGTGCTAGATTCACGTGTGCTAGAGACTTCTCACCAGGCTTAAATGCAAAGGCTGAGGTAGAGGGTCTGTGAGATCCCTGGTGTGACAGAAAGGGCCGTTCATTCCAAGGAAAACAGCTCCTTCTCTACAGGATACCGAGCATAGCTGAGACCCTGTTTTCCTTTTATGGCTCTGGCTTCTGGGCTGGAAGGAGGCTTCTCTGATTAGATCCCAGCCAAACCTGACAGCTCTGTGGAGCTCGCCAAGTACTCTGTGTCCTGGGTGGCCGGTGCTCACACCATCCATCATCTGAGCCTGCTGGAATGACACTGTGAAGCTGGAGACATGAGCAGGCCGGATAGCTTCTTCTCCCTATCCTCGGTCATGTGGAGGCCTTGCTGCCCTAGGCCTTGGGGAACTGTCTAAAGACTTGCAGCCCTTCCTTCTGCTGTCTTTTCTTTTCCTTAACAACTTTTTTCCCCCCGAACAAAACGGTTGAGCAAACCTTTCACATGCAGGACAAACACCAGTGAAGCCGATTATCAGAGTATAAGACCGAGTGCGGGGTTTGTTCCTGAAATCCCAGTAACGGGACAAGACGGAAGGATGACGGCAAGTTTAAGATGAGCCTGCCCTAGGCAGCAGGTTCTAGATAAGCCAGAGCTAAGAATGAGGTCCTGTCCCCAAAGAAAAACAAAGTAAAATAAGAAGATGACCATGAATAGATTGAAAGTCAAAGAAAATCCACTAAGCTCTCCTTAATCGACTAATGGTGCTGAATGTGTTTGCAAAATCAGAACATATTAAACAAGTACTCACTGCTTGAAGTAATGTATTATCAATGCAGTTTAAATGGATAAAAATCCCCCCCAGGGAAGAAATAAAAATCTTCACAATTTAATTGCCAAGTATGAATTTGACAATTGATACGTACCAGAGGAGATAGAAATATTTACTGCAAAAAAACAAACAAAACAAAACAAAAAAAAAAAAAACAAACAAACAAACAAAAAAAACCAAGGTATTGGATGAATCCTATTCATCGTGCTGTTAATGGAAACTAATAGCTGCATGCCATAGTGCAATAGGCTGGAAAGTGGATGGGACTCCTCTACTCCTTTCCCACAAACAAAAATATCTCAGTTGCCTGTATCTTACGCCAGTCTACAGGGGATGGAGGAACTCACTTTGTGCTGAGCAAACCCTGACTCATGGAATCATGGCAGCAGTCCCGATAGAGCGGTACAGGCTTGGATGGCAACTCAACTTAATTGTTGCATACGTTTGTTTCAGCATCAATCAATCTGTCACTTAACCTTCATTCACCCTCACTCGCCTTCACACACACACACACACACACACACACACACACACACACACACACACTAAAAACAATGGAATTTTGCTTGCAGAGCTCTAAGAAGTCGGAATGATATTGTAAGGTGCCTGGATTAATGTTAAACAAATGATTATGTCTTATCTTTGTACATAATGCCTGTCCCCTAGACTCTGGTTTGTATCTGTTTGGGAGATGTTCAGGGAGAACGTTCCCTCTTGACCTTGCCCAGCCGGTCAAATACATTCACAACTCGACTTGCCACACCTGGTCACAGATTGTGGATTCCAGTGGCAGACCCTGACTAGGTAGAGCGTTGAAGGGTTCTCTGTGAAAGGAATAGATCCCTGGGAAAGGGGTACATACACTTCAGGGTGCGGCTGATCGTATAAGGCATCTCTTAGGTATGTTTTTCCTCTACTTTAAAAGTAACCATATTTTGAAATCGTACATTAGGGTTAGTCGTGGGGCGGGGAGGACTCTATGTTTCCTGAAGTACTGACAGGAAAGAATAATAAAACAGTATATATTTAAAAATTGTATTTTCCTGTTTGAAGTCTTGGCTGGTGAAATATTCTGTACTTTGACCTACACTGTCTTTTTTCTTCTTTTCTGTTGCTTGATTCTGTCTGGACCTATATTTCAACATAGATATTTTTTTGCCCGTGGGAACTGAAATGAAAAATTGGAGGGAAGAATGAATCCTGGGCAATCCCACTGTTCTTTAGCTCAGAACTTCAGCCCATAAACGTCTAGTGTGACTCACCACTCTCCGGCGAAACCTGGCCGGCACACACATATCCGGTCCTCCTGGACCTCGGTGCAGTTGCCTCCATTGTAGCAAGTGAGATTTGTCTTCTCGTTCCCACAGGCTGTCGAGGGTAATCGGCTGTGTCTGGAGAGATAAAAGTCATGGCCACAGCTGTTTATCTTGTTCATTTCATTCAAGAAAAAAAAATATCGAAAAGTTCATATACATAGTCAGTGTTAGGCTAATTAAGTCCTGAGGAACAATAAACGCTGGATTGTGATGCATTGTACAAATACCACATTCTCCAGCCAAATGCCCGTGCTGGAGGCTTCTGCAACCAACACGGCCATCCATCTTCTATGCTCCACAGCGGGTCCTGCATGAGATAAGATCTACGGCATGGGGTGGCAGTTAAATTTAGGGCTGGGAAGGAGCTCACATAGCTAGATCTGCAGCTGCTTTTCTAATAAATCAAGGGAGGCCATAGGAAAATTGCATCTCTATAAAGGCCAGGAGAACACGCTGGTACTCAGGCACTCATGAGGTTTCTGCGTTGGCTTCGGAGCTGAACTACAGTTGCCCTGCCAAGACTTGCCTGCTCCCTCTCTCGTAATTCATATCTTTGCACAGTGCAAGCCAAGTGCTATCCGGGAGGTTTGTGTATAATATTCAATGTAACTGAACGTGAGTTCAGCATGTGGCTCCTTGTATGGCAGCAAAGCTGAACATGCTGAAGAGTCCTCAGAAAAGGAAGAACAGATTGTTAAAGGCTAAGAAAACACTGATAGACAAAAATCCCCAGGCTTGAAAGATCTGTTTTTAAACAGATTTTACGAGTGTTGCTTGGGTCCTTTGGCTGTGTGTGTGTGTGTGTGTGTGTGTGTGTGTGTGTGTGTGATCAGATACAGACTAAATATCCAGGAAATAAGTGGAAGGCAGCTTCACGTTTGTTCTGTTATGTAACAGAAGCTAACACAAAACCCAGCTGCATGATGGTATAAGGGCATGTCTTTTCAAAAGAGCTAATCAATCCTACTTCAAAAGGAAAATATATAAGGACATTTCAAAATTGCCAAGGATGTCAATAGCTCTAAAAGAGGCCATTAGCAATTCAAAATCTCCAGTTTTATACACTCCTTGGCTTAATCGACAGCCTCTGGAGAGTACATTAGAAGGGAACTTTAATTCTTTTCACTTTGGTGAGTCAGACAGGAAAATGTTTCAGGGAAACCCTTACAAGGGCATGCATGTTTTCTTGTCCATCGTCACTGTGTAAGACTCCTAATTTTGATCCCAAATTTCTCTTGTTTTTAAACAGGTACACTATCCATTGATTGACAAATGGACCTGTTGACTTACAGGAAATGGCATCTATTAAGTAACCTGACCACTTAACATTTCTCCCAGTGCCTTGCCCTTGTGAGCTCTGAGCAACAATAGGTGTTGTGAACACGAACACAACAGTTCACAGGCATGGCTGCGTATAATGCCTCCCAAGAGATTCATCCTCTGAATCAAAGTGAGGTCCACAGGCTGCTCCACTCCAGACATTCTTGCTCAAGTTCTGAAATACATTATTTGTTCCTCATAACCCTCTTACCTATCGTGGATTAATAAGGATCAGGGAAAACAGCCTGAACTGATGTTTATTCAGGGAGAAATAACTTACAACAGAGACAGATGAATGCCAGCAGGTTCCTGGTCCCAAGGATGCCTTCAGATGCTCTCTGTCTCTGTCCAGCAAGCAAGAGAGCACTTAGGGTGATGGGGAGGAGCTCCTTCCCCAGACCTACTTCCCACAGGTCACATCCGCCCCGTCCCCACCCCCAATGGGCGTGGTCAGTGCCACAGGTGCAGACAGAGTGAATATCTCACTATACTTACCTCCCTACTATGACTCAATTATTCAATAAATGACAGGCAGTGTAAGTTGTAAAAACAGAAACAACGCAAAAGCAACGTGACTTAGAAAGAAAAAGACTTTTTAATCTCCGCATAGCATAAAAGTGAGGTAGTTAGTTGTGAGAGCAACTGACTGTTATCGCAATTTTAGAAAACATGTGAAATTCTTTAAAATAGATAGAGTGAATGAATATTCTCTCAGCAGCATGCTTAACATTATATTAAGGCCACCAGGACATCTGATTTTGAGTTGATGTATGCCCTGGATCTTCTTTATTAAGCTGTATCACGACTCTGTAAGTTAAGTAAAATAAACACTGTATTTACCATCTGGTTAAAAAGCTGCTGTTCCTGGTTGTAGAATATCCCACAATATGATCACATCTTTGCTAGACCAAAGTAGTGATGGGAGTGCTCAAAGCGAGCCTTGTTTAGCACATGTGGATATTTAAGGGGGGGGAAATCTTTCTGGGTTAACAAGGAAAATGCAGAGCACCAGCCCCCCAAAGGACCGAGCTTCGCACGCGCACTTTCTGCTCACCTGCAGAATCTCCCTGTAAAATTCCCAAGACAGAGACAGGAATAGCCATGAGCCCCACTGACGCAGGTGGCCCCATTTGCACACCGATGATTCCTGCAGTTGTCCGTATCCACTTCGCAGTTCACACCCGTGTATCCAGGCTCACACCTGCAGTGGTAGGCTGCAACTCCATCAGAGCAGTTGCCATGGATACAGGGGTTAGAGAAGCACTCATCGACGTTGATTTCACAGCGTGTCCCCGACCATCCCAAGAGACAGGAACACTGATAGGAGCTATAGCTGTCTTCACAGTTTCCTCCATGCAAACAGGGGCTGGAGTGGCAGGCATCTAGTGGCAAGCAGCCAGTAAGGACCACGTTTGTAGAGACTTTGAGAAACTGCTCTTCCTGAGGCTTATTAACGAAACTGTGGAGATCTCCAAAGTAAGAGAGGTATATACCTCCGATTCCTATTGTGCTCAGACAGCCCTGCAGACCATTTGTACTGTCGGTGGCTTGGCCACCCACATAGATGTCCGTACTGTCCTTCAGGAAGTTCAGGGTTCCAGTAGCAATTGTGCTGGTCACAAGAGGTGTTAGGTTGTCCACCTCCATTTGCCACGGGGAGGTCTGGGCCAGTGGGTCTGTCATGGAAAGCGTCACTTGGTGCCATGTGCCGTCACTCACCGACTGCAGGCTCATCAGCCGCAGCACAAAGAAGCTGTTGCCACTTTGCAATTGAAATAGCAATCTGGAGTCTTGAACGCTGATATTAATGAACTCCGGCTCTTTCTCTGCGTGCAGTATCATTACATTTGCCTCACGTGTTCTGAAACCAAATGTGATGTTGGTGAGCTCTCTGGTAATGTTCCCATTGCTTCTGAACAATATTGCCCTTCTTAGGCCACTGAAAACAGCATTTGCAACACCTGCAGTGAGAAGATGAAACTCTGTTACCTTTATTCCTCCTGTGAGAAGATGAAACTCTGTTACCTTTATTCCTCATACTTACCATCATGTCACTGATGTCTCTATGGCTGACACATTGTGTATTGTGCTAGTTGCTATCAAGTTGTGCCTAATACAGATTTTTTTTTTCTGTCCTTACTTTACAAGGGAAGAACTTGGGAGTCACAGAAGGTTAGTAATTTGGTCATCAAAAATAAGTAAATAAATAAAGCCAGACTGTCAAACCTGCCTATTGCTAATAATAAAACTCAGCTCATATATTTACTTTTTTTTTTCAATTAAAATTTTCTGGAATGCCAATTAATGTTTTCCATCGGCTTATGTAAAGGAAGCCTTGATTATCCATTTTAAAAATAAACCACCACAACACAGAAATCACAAATTTACTTTCGGTGGCATGCTAATTAGTTAACAATGGAGCCTGGCTTTGGATTAAGTTCACCAACATGCAGCTAATAGAAACGTTCGCAATGATGGATTGGTTTATGCTGCAGAAGACTCCAATTACATGCCCAGGTATCAACTTGCCACCTATAACCAAGTCCCTTCTCGTGGTTAGAAAGAAAGCCAGAAGACAATAGCATCTTACATTCATGCATTGCATCGAATATAGCGCTTTTGACAATCTTACTGGTCTTCTCTATTACAATTGCCTTAGCATCATTAACTCACACTTTGTTCTATCTCTTATAGCATCTAGCCCTATGTCTACTTATAGTCTCCTATATGCACCCTTGAGACAAGAGAAGAAATAGAAGGAACCCAGCTTTCTGCCAAGCCTGTCAACCTAATTAATAGCATCTGGGCTAGTCCTCTTTTTCATCGTCACGACACATACCCTGTCTCTATTCCTTTCAGAAGTCAGGCTTTCAAGTCCCATGTTGGGTACCATTCATTTTTTACTATTTTTTTTTTTTTTGGCCATTTTCCTATGTGCACCCAGTTGTTACCCTGCACTAACATTTTCCCCACTACAGTACAAATATGCTATGATTGCTGAAAATTTAGTAGAAAGAACCCACAAGACCCCTTAGCTCTACCACCCTAGCTGTCGTTTTATTTCTTTGTTCTCGTTACCATAAAAACTTAATACTTTGTATACTCCTTCCCACTTTCCCTGATTTTTTTTTTCCTGAACTTCACTGAAATTGCTTCTGACAAGGCCACAATGACTTCTGCATTATTTCAATCCAGTGGTCAATTTTCTGTTCTTACTTTTCAGTAGTAATGACCTGAAAACACAGTTGGGGACCTTCCCTGACCAGCGACCATCACTGGTCATGCAAAAGGTTACTTAGTTTTCCCACTTCCGTGGTTGCTGAGGATGTCTCTAACAAACAATTCTTAGTGCAAGACAAAATTCTAAACCACCACCTTCCAAGTGTATGGGATCTGACCCCTGTTTAACTGCCTCTAGTTCATAACATTCTCTTCCTCACTCGCAGGACAAAGTCACAAAATCAAGGAGTTTGTCCCAACCCAGGCCCTTTATACTCTCTGCACATTAAACCCAGAATATTCTTTCTCCAGCTTCCCTGTGCTCAGAACCCCCTCAGGGTTGCCGTCTGCTGGAGTGTCACCTTCTCTTGGCTGTCCAAGTTAAGATATGTCTTCCTTGTATCCTCCTTCTAGTCTATTACAGGATGATCCTGTAACTCCTATTGCCATTTGAAACTGATTTTGTACTTGTTTCTTAACTCTTTCTGTTCTAGTGCATGAGCTGTATGGGACCAGTTGTCCTTTCTATAGAGGTTTTTACTCCGTCCCTTTGCCGAGATTATTGCCTGTCCTTCAGTAAGTGTTCATTGAGTGTTAGTAAGTGAATAATCTAAGGCATTGCATCACCTTTTACATTGGAAAGTGAGACAATGATCAACAATCACATCAGGAGAAACCCTAAGTGAATAATTCAAGTGTTATGATTTAAATAAAGTTTTCCACTGGATTTAAAAAAAATTGATTTCATTTTTCCTTTCCATAAGGAATTTAGTAAGAAGAAGCATAAACAAACACCTTCTTACGTATATTTTTAAACAAATGATGATGAAACGACCAATTGCATTGTCTCTTTGCTGTCTATCGTGTTTTATAGATTTATTTAGCAAGTCTGATGGAGACAGTGGGCTCACTTCTTGTGGTCTGGGCAAAATGTTCAATACAGTTTTATATCTTGCCTTTTTTTGGGGGGAGGTATTTGCTTCAATTAATACACTTGTACTTAGAGAGTGTTGTAAAATTTCAAATCTTGTTTTAAAGCTTGCTATGACCAGGAGATCAAGTAAACTCGGGGTAAACCGTGAGCTGTATCAAGACTGCTCTACTAGGCTCTGTCTCCCCAGGGCATTTTTTCTGTCTACACTGGAGAATAGAAGGCTTTTGAGAATATCTTTAGAAGCACAATTTTTGAATAACCAGAAGGGATTCACGTTTAATTGGACATAGAGCATTGGCTATGTTTGGACTCTGCGTTATTTGACCTAAGGGGAAAGTCAACACATAAACCGTAGCGCTTAGTTCAAAATCATGACTAGTATTCAGATCACAAAACCACTCACAAGGAAGGGAACAGTCACCACAAACAGAAAACCTGACCCCTCGTGCGCATCATGATACACATAGGACACACACAAAGGAACATGCAGACCAGGCAGCGTTCTTCCTGTTTTAGATACCGGGAAGCTTCAGATTCAGGTGGCCGTGTGTACAATCGAAAATGGCCGTGAGGAAGATGGGCACATTTACGGTGTATCCCTATTCTCAGCATCTAGGAAGCAAAGGCAGGTGTTGTTGATTTAGCTCTTCGCATATTAGATTGAAATAATCAAAGAGCTGGGTCTGTTGTTGCAATGGCCAATTTTCTCACTCAGAGACTTAGGCCAGTATGAGTCACAGAGGCCATGATATTGGTCACACCAGGCTCATTAAACTCCTCACATGGGGTGTCTCTAAGTTGTCTATACCCGAATTCCTTTTTCACTGTTTCTTGTTTGGACAATTGAAATGTACCAACTAAACCAGATGGACGGCCGCTTTGAATGCCACCTACATTCAAACCCTTGAGGGACCAGCTGGCACTGTGCACTGGGGGGACATGGGCTGAGATGACACCAGTGAACTTCCTCGCAGGTTTTCCCCGCCGTGTTTGCAGGGCAGGAACAGGAGAAGTCATCCCACAGGGAATAGCAGACACCTCCATTATGACAGGGGCTGGACTGAGGAAAAATAAAAGAGAGAGAGAGAGTAAAATCAAAGGGATAAAGAGCATTGGAAATGAAATATGGAAATGTTAAAGGTGAGGTTATCTGTTACTTTAAAATGCCAATTCCCCTGCATCTTTGCATTTTAGACATTTTGCACATTGTTAATAATATAGAATAAAGCTGGCCACTACCATTTCCAGTTGCTTTTACTAAAAGAGCAGTGAAGGACCAATAGACAGAGGTATGGGAGAGATAACAGGGAAAGGAACAACAGAATGACAGAGGAAAAGAGACACTATAAAAGTGGTCGGTGGCACAAGAAGGATTATTGAGACACAATGATGCTCTCTGTAATTTGTGAGTTACCAGGCACTTTACACACATCTGTTATCACAGGTTATGATGATTATTATGCCTGGGTGACTCTAATTACCCAAGATCCCATAGCCAGGTGAAATAGCGGACTGGTCCTTGATCCTGCAGACCTCTGCATCAGCAACACAGTATTACTGCAGGTCTCAAAACCACTCAGAGAGTAGTCAAAACACAAACATTTTTAAAGTATTTGTTTAGTTCCTGCACTTCATTCACCCAAGGTCTATTATTAATTGGCTTTGCTTGGTTGTATACCCTCCTTTCTTTACACCTCTGGGGATAGGGCACAGTCAGTCCTTAAACTTGCTAAGCACGTATTCTACCACTGAACTATGTAACATTATGCAATTTTATAGACCTCTATTTCTTCATCTGTAAATGTATGAACGATATGACAATCTTCCCTCCAGTAGTCTTTCAATATAACCAAATGTATTAATCCATGTGAAATCACTTCAGCTACAAGAAACGTATTACTACAGCAATTCTACAATGGTTCCTTTATGTATGCTTAGAACTGAATCTTGTATACAGTGATGATTGGGGCTCGTGGATGTTCAAGTCTTGCCATGAAGAGCTAACCATCTCACATATTTAATTTAGAAGGCATGAAGGTTGTTTGAATCAAGTCACTGGCACTGAGGAATCATATGTCAAAGGATTTCTACACCAGCTACCAATGGGAAGCTGAGGGTTTGTTGTTGACTTCATGGAAGAAGCTGGCTGTTGATGTTAAATTTAGTGGGATTTCCAAAAAATGGGTTGGTTTGACTAAACCCACAGAACACCATTAAGAATCTGAAGCTTAATATACTATTATTCTCAGGGAAGTTGGTTGTTTGGGAGTAGGAGGAGCATGTCATTAGAGTTACATCTGCTGTTATATATATTCATGATGTCAATAAAAAAAAATCAATGCCACATTTTCACGGTTTGTTGTTATTCTGCCGATCTCTCTTGAGATATGTAGATGAAAAATATTCCACGATTGGTAGGTCATCAGCAATTTTGTTCACATATAAAAGAGGTTCAGTAGGGTGTGGTGTCACACACCTATAGCCCCCACCCATGATTGGGAAGTTGAGGAAGGAAAGCTGTGAGTTCAAGTCCATCCTGGGCTACATCGTGAGTTCCCTGTCTCAAAAACCAAGGAGAAAAGCAGAATGATTATAAGTTATTTAAATAAATACAATTTCAGTATGCACTACATGTAGAGTTGCTGTGAATTACCCTACCTTGCAAATGTTGTCTCCAGGACAGCCTTGAGTCACATTGACAAGGATTGGATCATCACCTCCGTTGTTTGTTGACTTGGGGAAGAAGTCCAGATTTCGGTTGTTTAGTCTCACATCTTGAATACAGCCTTTGAAAAAGCCACCATATGGCTCAGTCTTCTGTCTGTCAGGTAGGCCACCAATGAAGATGGCATCTCCTCTTTGAATTGTCCATGAAGGGACAGAAATGAATCCTAAGGTTTGGGAAGACTGATACAGCTCAATTTCATTCGGTCTGATCCTCAAAGATATTAAGTGGGCATTTCCATCACTAAGAAAAAAATTTAATACTAACTTGGGAGGGCCTGGGGTCTGCAGTGCCAGGCGGCCGCGCTCTAGCCAGACACTCACATACTGGTAAGTACTATTTTCCAAAGCCAGAAGTAAGCCCGATGGTCGACGAGTTCTAACAAACATGGAGAGGCTGAGGTTCTGTCCATAATCATCATCAAGATTGAAGATGGCATATCCAGGGGAGTCGTCATCCTGGCCAAACCTTCCTGCTACATACTCTTCAATATCCAAATAGGGAAGGAGAAAAAAAGAAAAATCTTTACATTCAAATGTAAGAAGGGATGGGAAATGAAACTTCTGCAGGCATACCCAACCAGACACTTTTTCAAGTTCCACACAGCCTTACTCAATAGAACGGCAACGTTACCTCACTTTTAGGAGCTTCTGAGTTTATAATGCAAACCATTACCTTTCAGATTATAATAGGGGCCCGTGAGATACAAAGGAGAAAAAAAAAATAAATGAAGCTTCTGCAACGATCAACTAAAGAACATTCCCATCTCCTCCCTAAAATCCAAACAATGAAACATTAGACAACGCCGAGCCTCATCTTGGTGGAAGATGAGCACGCCATGTACCTCTATGGTACCCTACCTTGGTGATCTCTGCTGTGTGTGGGGGGGGGGCGTGCTGAAACAGACGTGTCATGAAGTCCATTGTGTTAACTGACTGTGGTCAAGTGCCAGAGAAGGGCTGAGAGTTGGCTATTGAATTTGCAATGCAGAAATTGTTGCTGAGTTTGACAACAGCTCTGTCATGAAGTTATCACTGCTTTGGGTTTTTGCATCTCAGTTATAACCAGGGGGAAAAAGAAAAAGATTACATCCTATCATGGTTAGATACCATCATCAATTGAAGTTTGTGAGAAAGTAAGACATATTTTAGTTTAGCTGAACCACAGTGAATCTAGTTTAGATAACCATCTGTGTTTGAAGACCTTCTGCTTAAAAGGCCACATTTTCAGAACTCTGACTTGATTCCTATAGGATCTGCATTTGGACACCACCTGCCCCAGGCAACTACAGGTAGCTTTCAAAGGTAACTGTCAGATAAAATAACCTCTTTGAAGAGGTTAACGTTTCTGAACACACCATGGCACTTTTGTATAGGATAAAATGCTTAATAAGAAAATTGGGCTCTTGAAGCCCTTGAGTTTTGAGGGTAGGCACAAAAATCCCTCAAGCTCAGGGGGCCGGGCCCCTGCTGGTCATCCTAGGATGCCTGAAGCATCACTTTGTGGATCAGAATAAAAGACAGGATGCAGAGGTGAGTTTCTTTCTTTCTTTCTTTCTTTTCCGTTAGAAACTTGTCTCTCCAGTAATCCTATTTTCCAGAAATCACAAGCAGGTAGTCAGAGTGTGTGATGTGCAACATGATTTTTAGAAACACCATAAGCCACATAGGAAGGACTTGACTCTGAGCGTGGAAGATTTGATTCTTATACGTATTACCAATATATTCTAAAGATGTATGGATGAAAAAACTAATTTGACAAACTTTAATAGTTGATGGACTACAAAACAATTTTTTTAACTTTTTTTTGATAATTGTTTTTTAAAATTTAAATTTGAAACAAGCTTGTTTTACCTGTCAACCCCAGTTCCTGAAACCTCCCTTCCTCCCTTGTTCCCCCACACCAACCTCTATCCCATTCCTTTTCTGCTCCCCAGGGAGCAGACTTCCATGGGGATCTTCAAAGTCTGTCATATCATTTGGAGCAGGGCCCAAGCCCTCCCCCATGTGTCTAGGCTGAGAAAGTATCCCTCTATGTGGAATGGGCTCCCAAAGTCCATTCGTGCACTAGGGATAAATACTGATCCACTACCAGAGACCCCATAGGCTGCCCAGTCCTCCTAACTGACACCCACATTCAGGGGGTCTGGGTTGGTCCTATGATGTTTTCCCAGCTATCAGACTGGGGTCCATGAGCTCCCCCTTGTTCAGGTCAGCAGTCTCTGTGGGTTTCTCCAGCCTGGTCTTGACCCCTTTGCTCATCACTCCTCCCTCTCTGCAACTGGATTCCAGGAGTTCAGCTCAGTGTTTAGCTGTGTCTGCTTCTGTTTCCATCACCTCCTAGATGAAGGCTCTAGGATGGTATATAAGGTAGTCGTCAATCTCATTATCTGGGAAGGGCATTTAAGGTAGCCTCTCCACTACTGCTTAGATTGTTAGTTAGGGTCATCCTTGTAGATCCCTGAACATTTCCCCAGTGCCAGATTTCTCTTAAAACCTATAATGGCTCCCTCTGTTACGGTATCTCTTTCCTTGCTCACCTCTATTCTTCCCCTGACTCAGTCTTCCTGCTCCCTCATTCCCACCTCTCCCCGCCCCTTTCTCCCAACTCCATCTCCCCTCCCCCATGCTCCCCATTTGCTTGGGAGATCTCGTATAGGATGAAACCGAATGAGAGTAAATAGGGGGCACTTCCGTTTAACTGCGACACATCCGTTCATGATAGAAGAAAGGGAACTCTGTAGCCTCACAAATGGCAATGACATACAAACAACAGTGTGTAAACCCTGTGCCACACTGTGAATGCGATGCTGGTATGACAAATGACAGCTTGCTGCATAGACAGAGGAAGTGTGTGGTCCCGTGTCACTGTGTCACCGAGCACTTACATGTACCACCTTTCAGAGAGAAGATGAGGTCTCAATGCCATGTCATATAGAGACACTAGAGGAAAGTAGTGTGACATGTAGGATGATGGTTGCTGGGCGTGATATATTTTCCCTCAAGTATTAGGGATTCCCAAGAAGAGATGTGAGTCCTCAATCAAGAACATTCCTGATGGAAACTGTATGGGAAACGAAAGCTATGGGTAAACCACAGCCCAGAAAAAAAATGAAGGAAATCACTGTTTGGAAATGTGGGGCGAGATGGAACAGTGAATTCTCTGCTCTGGAACTAAGTACGCATAAAGCAGAGGTTTCCATAAAAAAAATTCCAGCTATTCAATGAAGCCCTGTCAAACCTAACAGAGGGAGGTAAACAACTACAAATTGTTTTTTTTTTTAAATAGATACTTTTCCAAATAAAGCAAGCGGTGTGCAATACACTCCTTTAGAACAATATCCCAGAATCCCTGTCGTGATACATAACACAATACACGTATGATGTTAACACGCCAAGCACTTTAGGGCGCCATGCAAAACTTCTCAAATCCCCCTTCTAGGGCACAAACGGTGTTTGAGAAGATCAGCTTCAAGATATTATCAATTTCTACTGCTTTTGTGTTGCTCAGACCTCAGACTGGCAAATTCCATCCCCAGCCTGTGTTCTTTCATTGTGCTTGCCAGTGGTAAACATTGTTCCAAAATCATTACTTGAGGGCTGGAGAGGTGGCTTTTATATTTAAGAGCTTTTGCTTTTCTTGTAGAGGACCCAGGTTTGGTCCCCAGTATTCACATCAAAACTGTCTTTAACTCCTGTTCTAGGGGATCTTCAGACCTCAACAGGCATCTGCACAAATGTGGTGCATAAACATGTACACCTAGTCCCACACATGTACACACGAAATAAAGCAATAAAATAATATATCTTAAAAATAATTATTTGGATGTCTCACTCTCCAGATTTTTAGTGTGTCTTATATAGCAGACAGACTCAGTTGTACTCTTAAGCATTTGTGTGTGTGTGTGTGTGTGTGTGTGTGTGTGTGTGTGTGTGTGTGTAAGCAATAAAGTACAGAAAACATTCCCTCATAGATCTCAGCAATACAAAATACCTTCACTTCATGGTTCAGAGGTGATACAGCAAATATAACTTTCCTTTAAACTTCTCCCAAAAATTTCCAAAAAGAATGGGTTTTATTACCTCCCTGTCCTATAACCTTTTGATACCAAATGTAGGGTTAAACAGTTTCAAGTATTATGAGAATAAAGGATATAAGCACACTCAGTGATTAGGGGAATATGGAAAGTGTAACCAAATCAGGAACTTGGTTTAAAAAGTTCATTATTTTCCAAGTTAGAAAAAAAAAAAAAGATATAAAGAAAACCAGAAGCCGCTGGATTGGCATCCCTCGAATCTATTTCCTAGGACAGTCAGCATCGCCATGGCCAGTGTTAACCTCACGGGTCACTGCATCTGGAGCCCAGTCAAAATGAGTCCGCATCTGTTTGTTATTTTGTATATGTAGTAAAAATATTGCCTTGGGTCAATTAGATTTTCCTTCAAAAAGTGAACCATTTCCTCGGCATAATTCTACCTTTTCTCCTTTAGAAATAACCACAAAGCAACTTGCCATGCCATTTAAAATATTACATAGAGCAGCAGATGCCATGCCTCATGGTCAAACAGGCCCATGATTGTAATGAATATTGTGGTGAGGGGTAAACCTGAAAATAGTTTCTAATAATTCTTAGCCATTGAACATGGAGTAGGGTATAGGCTTCGGCTGGTTTTCATTTTACTTCATATAAAACAGAGGAGGCTATTTACCAGATGCTGTCCCAACTCGGGCTTACTCTAAAATGTTGGGGTAAATTGTAGCCAAACTTCAAAGCAGTCTGTTAGAGTTCACTCTCAGACCTCTAAGTGCATGATGATAACAACAACAACAACAACAACAATAAAAGTGAGCAGATATGTATTGACCACTATCCACGGAAGTCTTTGGAGCAGTGCTGGATGGAAAGGATTTGAAATACACTTCAACTGATATCCTAGAGGAACAGATTGGCTTGTGTGTGCCACCTACCGAGTTTTACCGATAGTACGTTTTGTGCCTTCATTCTGTCTCTACTGAAGACATCTATCTGCTTTGTACATTAAGATGGCTGGAGGCACAGTTCTGAACGGAGCTGATGGTTTGTCAGTCCTAAACATGGTTCTTAAGGAAGTACAAACTGCACAGAGAGACAGCGAGGGAGTGGATATCCACCAAGACTCTGCCAACCACGGGATACAGTACTAGAGTCTGTGTCTAAAGTTCCCATTTCTTCGAAAAATGACATCTTGTTCAAATAAGGTTTTCCCATACATTTCTGACATGCAACAAAAGGCAAAGCTCTAAGAGCTCTTTTACCGACTAGATGAAACGCCGTTTTGATGGGAGCTATTAGCTTATTGTAATTTATCACCATCATCATCGTTGTTTTACTTTTCAGCCCAAGTAGAGTTTAGCTGTGCTATGAAACACACTCATAATCAATGCATGTCAGTGCCGCCCCCTTTATCTCCCGGAGAGCAAGCATCAGCGTAAGTCCTGAGGGCTCCTTACGTTCCCTAACAGGTGTTTCTGAGGCACACAACACTCCCGGCCACCCCATCCCTCTTACCTTCCAGGCAGTTGGAGCCTGTATAGGGCCTGTCACATTCACACCGATAACCCTGCCACAAGTTGATGCAGTGTCCTCTGTTTTGACAAGGTTGACTTTCACACCAGTCCTTTCTCATGCAGCCTGCTTTGACATTTAGTGACAGGGCAGACGGAACGTTCTCCAGAGTAATGTGGCTCAAATCAAATTGAACATCTTGGAGACAGCCCACAAAGGAAGGCGTCGATGGCTCATTATAGACGTCAAGCCCAGACACACTGTTGCCGGTTGATCCCACTGGTAAGCCACCCAAAAAAGAGTTCTGAGAAGCACAAAGTGATTGCCGATTCCCAACTGGAAAAGAAGTCTTAGATGAGCACTTCCCCTTGCAAGAGCTGCCGGTCAGGGTAAGGGTTATAGTTTCTGCAAACGTTACCTCCACCAAATGCCATTCTCCATCGCTAGTGTTCTGGGGGACATACAAAAGCGCCTTTGACTGGTTCTGGACTTGGAGTGACAAGTGAACAAAGCCGTTCAGCAACTCCAGCTTCATAGACGTGTCCCCGTTGCCTCGGAAAAGGAGAAGTGTGTTTGGTTGAACAGTCTGGAACCTCAAGGATACACTACATTCTGACTGCAGTGTTGTACGCGAGCCACTTGTGACCCACAGGAAACTGTTGCTCTCGAAAGAGAGTGTGGTGTCGGTTTCACACAGGGACCCCGCAGAGCCAGAAGGACATTGGCAGGTGAAGCCATGCTGGCCGTTCTCCAGGTGAGGGATGCATTTTCCATCATTGAGACACCGGCCACGAGAGCAGCCCAGAAGAACTTCAGAACAGTCTTCTCCTCCATAAAATGCCCCAGAAACGTCGTCAAAGGGGCAATGGCAAGTATAATTCCCAGGCAGGTTCTCACAAGTACCACCGTTTTGGCAAGGGTTTGATAGACATTCATCGATGTCTTCTTCGCAGTGGATTCCTGTCAAATAATAAGCAACAGGTTGAATGTGTGCAAACTTACATAGATATTTGTAATCAAATCATTAAAGCTCCATGTAAATTATATATATATATATATATATATATATGTATACATACATATATATATTATACACACACACACACACACACACACATATATATATATATATATATATATATATATATATAAAATCAAGAAATTCAGGTCAAGTTCAGGGTTATAACTGGGCTGGAGTAAATGTAATACTTGAGGAAAACTAAAATTAGTTATATTATTCTACACGTGGTGTGAAAAGACCAGTCATGACAGACTTAGAATTCTTCTAGAAATAGAACAGCCACCGTCTCAAGTTAACCATTGTCAAATATACATATGGCATCAACGTGAGAACAAAAAGAAAGAAACTACATTTCTGGCAGTGATCCTAGATTAAAAAAATGATTCCTTTGTGGGTGCTTTGTTCAGTCCCTGTTTATCCTGTTATTGTCCTCTCTCCTATTTGGAAAGGATGGTTGCTTGCTTTCTTGTTGTACCATCCTATAAGTCCCAGAAACAAAGTTTTCCAAGTATATAGACACAGACATTCCTCACGGCGAAATTCCTCCGGCAGATGAGAGGACCCATTCTTCTTCCTGCATTTTTATATAAAATAAGACACCTGTTCTACAAGTTCTCGCTGATCATTTTTATTGCGTTTTGATAAAATCTGGATTTCAAGAAAAAATAGGATGGTACCCATAACACAGTTACTAGAACTACTTCAATCAAGCTGTCAAGAATAGGGCACGCTGTTTATTAGCTCTTGTCAGCATGGAACAAGCTAGGGGCACCTGGGAAGAAGGAATTTCACTCGAGGAATCACCTCCAGCAGAATGGCATGCAGGAAGGTCTGCGGGGGCATTTCTTTCATTGACAGTTCATGGGCGAGGGCCAAGCCCACTGTGAGATGTACCCTCTCTGGGCAAGTGGTCCTGGGTTCTGTAAGGAACCAGGATGAGCAAACCAGGAAGAGTAAGCCAGCAATCAGCTTTCCCCCCATGGCCTCTGTGGGAGTTCCTGCCTCCAGGTTCCGGCTCTGAGCTCCTGCCCTGGCTTCCCTCAATGGTGGAAAATAATCTATAGGCCCAAAGAAACCCTTCCCTCCCCTACTTTGATTTTGGTAAGTATTTTACTTTCTATCACAAACCTGTCACACAAAGTCTCCGTCTTGATAGTGTTGGGTGAAAACCACAACTAGGCTGCATGATCTAAAGCACATCATTGGCTTCTTTGCCTTTGAGAGGCTTACTTTCCTCATCAACAAAAATGGGAATTAAAAAAATGGCATTTACATGACAAGGATTTTCACAGGCAGTCAATGACTGCCAATCTGCTTGCTGTGTAAGTTCTCAATAGACGCTGGACATTACTAAAAAGTAATAACCAAAAAAAAAATTCTCTTATTGACAAAATTCAAATAGTGCTTGGTCATTCATTGCAAGATAATTTACAAAGTGTAAATTACTTGTTCTGCCCTACAAATTGAAGAGCCTTGAAATAATAATATAAAGTAAACATGAGAATTACTGGATATTAATCTAGAATTTCATTAGACTCTAAATTCCACTAGGGAAAGGAAACGTGTTTTATTCATTAATCAATGTCTAAGTCTTAGTTTAATACTTGGCTCATATTTGAAAATCCCAAGAACCCCTAAAACCAAAGATTCATTTGATAATTAATCTTTTAAATGGATTAGTTAATGACTTTCCTAAAGTAACAAATATTTTAAAAAGGGATTAAATCTTATGCAAAACCTAAGTGTTCTTTCTATGTATGCTTACTCATTTGGGAAATGATAATTTTTCACTACCACCAGCACTTATGTATCAGACATCGAGGCACTTGCCTGGAAGGTTTCTGTCGTACTTACATTTTACTTTACTTGGATAGCTTTCACCTTAGCTGTTAATCTGAAAAATATGTTTTAAGTTCTGTGAGAATGTTGAAGTACTATGATTTTACTTGAAGTCTCCCACAGTGCTGACACAATGCTGAGGGTACGTGCTACAAATGCTCTATGAATAGAAAGCACTATGTGGAATTAATCTGGATATAGAGAATGAATACGACATCATAAGTAACAATTAACTATTCTAAAGAAATTTTAACTACATCAAGAGTTTGAATTTTTGAATCGGAGACAGCGAACAATCTTGAGCCATTAAAACCAAATAAAACAAACAGTGATGTCATATAGGACGTGCACAAAATCACGCAGATGGCGAGAATGACGACGAGGTCTTAATGACGGCAGGGAGTCCAGCAGTGGGTGGATCCCAGTAAACTACAAGAGCAAAGCCCCACTCCAAGAGGACCCAGAAAGTTTCAGGGAGCTAAAGCTGAATCTACAGTTCAGACATACATCAGAGTGAGCCCCCCCCCATAAAAAAAAATCATTGTGAGCACAAATTAGCCTAGAAACAACCCTGCATGGGAAATCTGAAGACATTCCTTTGTGTTTGGCAAATGGGCCGTGGAAGGCTCATGGAGGAAGATCAAGTTAAAAAGGTTAGGCCAATGCAGTCAGACTGGAGAGCGGGAGCCCACGAAGATTTTATTGTTTTATTTCTTTACTTATTTACTTTTTGGCACTGGAAACGATGGGGTAAACGTGGGCTGGAAGACCAACGTGGTCTCTTCCAAAGGTCGGTCCCACAGGGGCGAGTGAAGAGAAGGGAACTAGAGACAGGAAGACGCGCCAGGAGCCGTTAAAACTCCGCAAGTGAGACAGACTATCATGGCCCAAAATAGGATGTTTATTTCCTTAACAGTCCCAGTTGCCTTCATTTGTATCTGTTCAGCGTATAAATGCCCACAACACTTGGTACTCTTATTTTATTTATTTTTTTTTACCCCTAGAATATACAGATACGATCTTCCACAAAATACCATTAACTTGGCAAAACAGCTGCCTTTATACATATATATACATATATGTATATATGTACATATGTATATATGTATACATATACACATATGTATATATATGTATAAAGAAATTAAATGTTGCCATCGTTTAAAAGGAAAGGAAGAAGAAGGCTGTCTTAATATTAAAAAGATACATACAGGGCCATGGAAACAGATGGTGGCAGGGATTTGTGCTCTTCCCTGTTTAAAAACAGTCCTGCAAACACCACACCAAATAAGGTCAGACTATTTGATGAACTTGGTCAACTCAAAGTGAGAAAACACACACACACACACACACACACACACACACACACACACACACAACACATTGAAAATTCTTCCACTGGGGCTCCAGACCTGGCTCAGTGGTTAAGAGCACCGGCCACTCTTGCTGAGGACCCAGGTTCAATTCCCAGCACCACACAATGGCTCATAGCTGCCTCTGACAGGCTGTTTGCTTCAGTGGATCTACCGACCTCTCTGACTGTCACAGGAACCAGGTGCATATGTGGTATGCACCAGACGTATGTGCAAGGCAAACTGTTTCATACAGTAAATGCAAAATAAGAGATAGAAAAGATTTTTAAAAAGAAAAAGAAAATTCTTTCTGTGGTAATCTCGCCGACTGGGCAAAGGAAAAGGCCCGCTGTCTATCAAAATAAAACAATCAGGTGATTGATATTCATGGGATTGTGCCTGCCAGTCAATCTTTCCATTGGGGAATTTCAGTAGCTGTTATTTGGTTGCTCGTGTCTAAGACTAATGAATAATGTAGATTGCTTAAAGTTTAGTCACTTTTAAATCAATTCCGTTAACTAAAACCTTACTATTTATTTTCCTAACATTCTAATGTAGCATATAATTCTATGTAGTGCTGCTACATTTACACATAGTTACAATAGAAAAATCTCCACCGCCTGGTATATTGCAAACACCAATCAGAATACGTAGCGTTTGTGGATAGAAAGAAATACATTAGAAAAAAATTTCTAGGAAAACAAAAATAATTGCATTTTGATCTACTTTAATTACTTCGATGTTCTTTTAAAAAAAAAAAAAAAACCATAAATCCGAGAAGGAATTAAAGGAAAAAACCCAACAGTTTGACGTGTGAACATATCCACTTCCCCTTGCCCCAAGTTCTACTTTTCTTATAGCAATAGTATCTGTTATGGCACTAAATATTAGCGGTTAAGTAAACATCTTAAAAATTGTAGCAACAATACCAATTATCTTATCTAAATAGTAAGAAGAAAGTTAGTTACCTATAACCATCACCATTAAAATGTGAAAAACTTGTGTCCTGTTTCCAAACATATTTCTGTAAAAAAGCAAAAACAGCTAGTCAACCGGTGTCTACTAGGTCAACTGAAACTGTTCCTGATGCCTTTGTGTTCTTTCCAAAAGCGTGGGTTTGGGCTTCTCAGGGAGAATGTGAGGGCTCAGCTTGCTGGGCTCCTGCTCGAGCTGGATCAGTGAGGGCTTAATGTAAGACTCAGCTGTGCCATTTACCAGGCAGCATGGTTATATTTTTAGACCCAATCCTCCCAGCATGCACAGTGCCTCCCTCCTGTAAGTCTCTTCAGTCAATGTGAGTCTGATCTCGACAGTAAGGAGCATTATGAAGGAAACCAAGGAAGCTCCATTCAAACTATGAAGAAGAGAAAGTTTGACTACAGAAAATCATTACTTGATCTTATTTTTCTTCACAATGAAGGAAGTGCTGTGTTGGCCTTTGGTTTGTTTTGCTTCTTTGGGAGACTAGAGTCTTGTCATGCAGCCCTGGCTGGCTTCCAACTCATGGTACTCTAGTGATTAGCCGCCATCACACCTGTTATTTCCTGGCATTTGGTTCAATCCCTACCACTGAAACAAAACCAACCCCCTCAAAACAACAGGGTGTGGTTAAGAAGTTCACATCAAGTGCATTGGTTGACTTTGGTAGAGAATGAAAAGGAGAGAAAGACGTAGGGAAGCAGCAGAGGCTTTCACCTCTGTGAGTACCATCTCTGGGATGTCTCCCAACTTCCCCCCAGGCCTACAAA